ACACTTATTTACTGTTCATATATATTTTAATTAATGTTTCTGAATTTTTTATTGAATTAATGTTTGTGTGCAAAATTAACAATACAATTTATTAATAATACGTGGAATATTAAAACACACAAGGAGACGAGACGGCTGCCGGCATTGTTTTTGTTAGTCTTACAAAACCAGTGACTGATTGGTTCTACATATAAAACTGAAGAAAATAAGACCATGATTGTAGCTGTAGCAAATTTTATGTAAAAAAATTAATATGGTTGTTTGAAGTACCTGTAATGTTATTTAATGTTAATAAACGGAACAATATAAGTAGCTAACCATTAATGGTAAAAAAAAGTGAGACTGCACGTATGTAAGTGCGCACATGTGAAAACATATCGTCATTACTCTACATAAGAATATGAAAGCAACAATTATTTACTGCTCATATACATTGAAGGGTTAAATGTTGTACTCTATATAGACAAGCAGAGAGAGAGAGAGAGCAGCCGAACTGCCGGATGTGAACAAACCTTAATTTCCCGCGGCTTGTTTTTTTTTACGGGGATTAGCCCACCTGGGCATAGGTCACTGACCCACATTGGGGCCTGAGGGGCAAAAATTTAATACTCGTGTAGGGTAATAATAATAATAATTCAGATAAGTAAAAAAAAAACTGCTTATCTTCTACCTATTGGACAAACTAAAATCGTTCCAGACCACAGAATGCCGGACTAGAGAGGTACAACCTGTAATTAATAATGTTGAGTTTACCCTCGAATCCACTCCGTGCTTCATTATTAATAATGTACAGAGTAGATGTGAGGGTACTCAACATTTTTAATATACAGTACATTTGTTTCTGATTATTTGTGAGAGGATTTTCTCATTATTATTTATTTGTACGTATGTGTTTTATGTGTAGTGTCTGCACACATATATACAATACATTTAAATGAAATTACTGTCTCTAGAATGAATGTCTCCTTGTCCTGGCCTCGAAAATGCCGACAACTTTAAAACTACCTGCAGATATTCTTGGGTACATCCAGGGTGTCATCCGCGAATAAGGGGACCGCAAAATAAAATTCAGCTAATTATCCGGGCATACTGTACTTGTCAATTTGGTTACAGTAGTTATATTATTAATTTTTGAAAATATACCTGTACACTTAAGTAAATTATTTTACAACACCCTCAATATTAAGTCTACAAATTAGCTTTCAATGTTATCATTCTCCGACAGTGAACATATAAGTTACTCCTCAAACTCGCTTAAAATCTAGTAGACTTGTCAGTCACTGAGCCAGTTGCCTGATGGTCCAATTTCTTATTTACTGACCTAAATTTGTAATGATATGCCAGTACATAATTATATCTTTTATGTGGAAAATTGAATAAAAAGTTTTATATATATAGTACCTGTAGCTATTCTTAAATTTCAGAAAATATTTAGAATTCTCAAATCTTTCAGGAAGATATCGGAAGCATAATTATGTCTAATGGTAAACTCTGCTGCCATATGGCATCACAAAAATCCTGACCAAGTTCCAGTTTGCAGATCTGACTGACTTTCTGCTTTATTTACACACAATTGCAGGAGTCCCAATTGTATCTCTTTACTTTGACCACAACTTGTGAGAAAATATATAATTTCTCACTCTTGATCTTTTATTTTTTTTCATTTGTGTATTTACCGTATACTGTATGTGGTTCAATTTCTTTTATTTATTTTTTGCTGTCATGCCCCGATGTTTGTTGGTGACCTGTGCCTGGGTGGGCTAATCCAATTCTCATAAATAAGGGGGGCGGGTGGCAAGGTAAACATTGAAATGATTTTGTGGTGGTGTGGCCCATCGCTATGTCCATTTCATACATAGTTGTCTGTACGAGTGCCAGTATCACTTTGCCTGACGTCTAGTTTGAGTAATCGTGGCCTGAACTTCATTTACCTGTACTCATATATGGATGACTTACAATTCACCAAACACTGTTGACACAAGATGGTGTGCTTGTTTATCCCTAATTGGCAAGCTCACAGTAGACAGTGTCCTTTTAATTATGAATATAATCTGCATTACCGGTGTTGTATGTGTCAACGAAAAAAGTGGCGCCGTCTGCGTAAACAGCCGAGAAATTTGATGCCATCAGCGTCGGCGTAAACGATTTCATAAATTGACGCCGTTAGCATCAGCGTCAACGAATTTTCAGTGACATACAAACGCAGCCCCGAAACGCGTATTCTCCTGTATATGGGAGTAACATGCAAAATCAAAAAATATTAATTCATTCATTTATAATCATTTAGGATTTATATTATATCATTTTAATTACTGTATTCATTTGTTCCCCCGCAAGAACACTAGCATCTCAAAATGCTTGTCGCTCATTCTGCTGCGCTTGGGCCTCAAGACGTCTTTGCCCATGGAGAACGTGCGGTTCACGGCAGCACTAGAGGGGATGGGTGTGTTGTATTTGATGAACAACTCTCTCATGGCCTTGTTAGGGAAGGTGTCCTTGTCGAAAGTTTTTTTTTTCGAAGGTTTCTCCCCCAGGAAATGCTTGAGGTCACTGTCTTTTTCATTCCTGCAGGGGGTCTCGTACAGGGCCTGGAAAATTTTGTTCTCCATGTCATGGTCTTTGTCGTCTCCCTCATTGCTGCTGCTCCTGCTCCTCTCAGTCTTGTGCACGGACTTCTCCACCAACCTGGACAGCTGGTTGGTGGCCTTTTTCCTGACTTGAAAATTCAAATCTGTAGAAAGCTGGGCGGGCACGGCAAAATTTTTCACGGTCATCTTTATAACAAGATAATTGAAAAATGAACTTGGAAAAAAAAATTGAAGTTGACGAACAAATTGACGCTCCACTCGGGTGAAAAGTTGACTGCGTCACCTGTAACGTCACCTGCCCCAAAAATTTATGGCGTCAGCGTTAACAAAAAGTTGCCGCCGTCCATTGACGGAGGTTAAATTAACGGCTTCAATATACAACACTACATTACATACTATATTATCATGTATGATGGTTATCACTATAATTGTGGGTATCATGAAGGAAAAAAAATGAAAATTTTGTTCTGTACTGGGTGCCCTGTTGTGCCACCTTGTCACTAAAATGTTTAACAAATTCTAGCAGATGGATGCATTTGAATTTGGTAGCGAGCCCAATTTGGCCTCTTGTTGTCATTTGAGTTCTGAGAATGGATAAGTTTTACATGTATTATGAAATCTAAGAAGCCAACCTCAATCAAAGATTTATCAAATAACCTATACTGTACTTTAACTGTAGAATTGAAGCTTAGGCCATGGTTATTCAAACTACAGGTCTCCCACGTTTAACGATGAGGCTGTGTTCCTGAAAAATCAAACGGTAAGCAAAATTATCTATAAGTGGGGAACAGGTGGGGATGCAGCTTACTATCGGATACAAAATTTTAGTAAAGCCTCAAAAATACCCTTAAGTATTACTGTTATTCTTTGTGTGTTCTAACACCACCTCTAACCATTCGCCACCACCATTACTACCTCATGTTAAGTCAAAATTACCATCAGTACCATGAATACTATCATGTCGTCTTCATACCACCCTGTATAACCCCAGCAATGCTGTCAGCACATACCAAGGCATCCCGAGTGGAAAAGCAACATTCATCCCAAGGAAAGTCGGTGAAGAATTCTCGCAAGGATTGCCAGTTTGCCCTCTGATAGTGCCATAGTTTACGTTTAGAGGGGGGGTGGAGGAGGTGGTCATGCCCAGTTTGATTTAATTGAGATAAGATTGTGATCAGAAGACCCTAAGGAGGCAGAAATTGAGTATGAATAGTGTGAGGGGTTAGAGGTAAAGCAAAGATCAAGAATGTAACAAGTTGATCGTGTTGATCAGGAACTCGTGTTGGGCGTTTGATTATTTGTTTCAAATCGTTAGTAAGGAAAAAGAGAGCACCTCAGCACCACCTGGATCATCCCTTGCAGAGCCAAGACCCACTCTGTGATGTACATTGAAATCCCCTAGGTAGAGGATCTCGGTGTTAGGAAGTGTGGATAGCAACGACTCTTGGCAAGAAGTGAGATAGTTGAAGAGTTCCAAATACTGTAGTTGGGAGAACAGTATAGGAAACAAAGAAAAATAGTCATAGTTGGTAGAGATATTTTGAGCCAGATGACATCATAAAGGGAAGATTCAAGTTCTGTGAGTCGAGCTATAGGTGTACGTGTGTTGCAGTAGGCACATACACCTCCCTTAGAATGGAAAGAGGTATAAAGGTTGTAGTTGGACTTGAAAAGGTTGGGGTGAAGATGCTTTGGTCAGTTGAAGTTCGGAAAGTAGTAATAGGTCGAGGGAAGAGATTAATAGATGGTGCTCCACAGAAGGAAAATTGGAGCTCAGGCCACAAATGTTGGAAAAATGAAGTGTGAAAAAAGCCGATCCTCCAGCAACCACAGTGGCGTCAGTTGAGGCCCCAGTAGTATGATGATCATCAGGTCGGCCCTGGGATCCACACCTTCCCAACTAGTGGGACCCATCCGAGAAGGCCTCGCTTCAATATAAATATCAACTGACATAGAAGAATAAAATAGAATGAATAGAGCAGATCAAGAGTGAGTACGTACGTTTATATTTGTGATGTTAATAGTAAGAGAGACAATTGAGACCCTGCCATTGTGTATAAATATGGCAGAAAGACAGATCAGCAACCTGGGACTTTGTCACGATTTTTTTTTATGCATTATGGTAGCAGGGTCTACCATTAGACAACACATTATGCTTCCAATATCTTCCCAGGCAGTAGTACTTCCCTGTTTGGTAGCTGCCTACTACCTGTACATGTTTGGCAAATTTACACATTCTCATGGACAACCAACTATTATGTGTGTTCGTGAAGCCTTGGTTTTAACAAAACATCCCAACAATTACCGGGAAGCAGTACAGTACCAGTATTTTGCCTGGGACATTTGTTGAGTTTGTCAGGAGTGATTAATTTTCTTGGGTGCTTAATTAATGTGCATTTTCTCTTTTTCAAGTGGTTAGGTGATCAAGATGGTGGTGGCTCAGGGGGGTCGGTTGATGCGTGGTGGGGGCATGGCTACCACAGGCTGCGGCATGACCCCCAGGGAGCTCTCCGACTATGATGACCTGGCAACCGCTCTTGTTCTTGATCAGTATTTAGGCTTCGTAACCCACAAAATGAATGTAAGGTAAGTTCCCCTTGGTTTACAGTTATTGCTACACAATAAATCAACTAGGTCTTTCACCATTTCTCATTATCATTGCCTTTTTTAAATTCTTGTTAAATTGTGTAGCCCCTTTAATGTTTTTTCCTCACCCTGACATTTTAAACTTTTAATTTATAATTTATTTATCTTCTTTAAACATTAAATGTCTGAGTCTTCCATAAATTAATTAATTTCTAATAAACTTCTCTGATATTCCTGCTCCTGATGTCTTACTTACTCAATAAATTTTCACAAATTCTCTGTTTGCAAAGCAATAGCCAGGTGTGAGAATATCCTCTTGTCCTTCAGAGAGTTCTGGTCCATTAGTCACACCACCCCATTCCCTCTCTGTCTATGAAAATACAGGTAATTGTCAACAAAGGTTGTCTCATGATTTGGATGGATCACTCTTGAAACTTGGGTGGACTTCATCATCAGTACCAATTAAAGATGCGCCCGAGTCTTTTAGGGTCATGGCCAAAGGTCAAAGTCACTCGCAAAAAATATTGGGGGGGGGATCTTTTGCGATTTGCATGGGTATTTTTTCCCCATGTTGAGATTTGTGACGGATGTGGGAAGTCTATCTTTATACCCAGTTTTCCATCCATTTGGGCAGCTTGTGGTCTTGCGAACTTAACAAATAACATTGTACATACTTTGATTAGATTGTTTTTGAAAGTATTATTTCATCAGTCAGTGCTTTCCTTCCATATTTTGAGGAGTTATAGTTTATTTTGTTTCTTTGGCAATGGGGAGGATTAGGTCTTAGTGGTTATCATCTTATTAATCCTCTTATTCTGTGCACTCTGCAAACTTGTCAGATAACCCTTCTCTTACACATCCACCCCCTTCCTTTTTTTTTACAGGGATTAGCCTCCCCAGGCACAGGTCATTGACCCACATCTGGAGGGGGGGGGGGGCAAAAATGTAGTAATAATAATAATGCATAGTAAATTAAATATATAATAAAAAGTACATAATTAATAACATAATAAAATAATGCTAACAATAATAACAATAGCACTGTAATAATAATAATAATAAAGTAAAAAAAATACAAATAATATCAAGTAAGAATATATATAGTGTTGTCTAAGTAAGAGAAACAATTGAGATTCTGTAATTGTGTGTAAATGAGGCAGAAAGTCAGATGAGCAACCTGGGACTTGGTCACAATATTTGTGGTGCCATATGGCAGCAGGGTCTACCATTAGACTTCACATTATGCTTCCAATATCTTCCCAGGCAGTAGTACCTTCCTGTTTGATTACTACCTGGTAGATGTGTAGATGCTTGAAACATTTATTATATGCTGTACTGTATTGTAGGATTTATCACTTATATCCTGAGAATGATATTGCCCTGTGCAGTACATGCCTCCTGTTTGTATTGTTACGAGTTGGGGATTTAGAATATAGTTAAGTCTACCCAGATCCCAACAGGCCACACCAATAAAAAAACAAAGACAATCGGACTATAAAAGGGTAGACAAAGGATGCGAGTTTTTGTTGTGTATAATAAAGTACCATAAATTCCTTAACAAAATATTCAGCTTTCTATAATTTACCCTTAACCATACTTAACCTAAACATACACAACATTGGCTTAACAGTATATACATATTTATACAACATACAACAATTTGAAGCAAGTGGACGTGGGGAGGCAATATAGGATAACAAATACTTAAGTGCAGTGCTGAGATGGCTGACGAGTAAGGCGGAGTATTGAAGAAGATGGTAGGTAGTCACTGTGCCGTAGGTTTCCAGGATAGGTGATCCTAGTGTGGTCACTTCCCAGAGTGAACTGAACTCTCCTTGATCTGGAGCTGATGAGGAAGACTTGGAGGAGGTGACGCAACAACCAGGATATGGAGAAGGGAAACCCCGGAGTGGTAACTAAGACTAGTCATACTCGGGTTTCGTCCCTACATGGCGTTGCTCGTGGTGCTGGGTAGGTAGATCATGACAATAGATGGCGTGGTTCGTAACAGTATATACTGTACAGTGGTCCCTCGGTTAACGAGCACAATCCGTTCCAGCAGGTTGCTCGTTAACCGAAACCATTGTTTCAATGGGTTTTTGGGTAATTGGTTCCAGCTCACTGAAAATTGCCTAAATTCAACAAAAATGGTAGAAAAGTTCACTTACTTTAAGGTGTATATGTAGAAGGCTCCTGGATGATGATGATGTGAATTTGAAGCGGGAGGAGGAGAAGGGAGAAGAGAAGGAAGTGGAGGTGGAGGAGAAGCATTTTACTGCTTCTTGGAAGGTGAGTCACCTTCCATGAAAATGTCAGGAACCTCTGGACTGACAGATTCTCCACCATGAACATCCTCTCTCCTTCTTGAAGTGGAAGGCTGAGGGATAGCATCTTGTTCCCTCTGCCTTTTACTGAAGAAAGTGTCAATTGTGGTCTGTGGGGCATCTGTCCTCCTCACCATTAACTTTTGTTTAAAGGAGACCACCGAGTCCTCAACATGACACAAAGTTAGTTCAGTTTTTTCCACTTCTGGGTGCTTTGAAGCCAGTTCCCTGAACTTCTCCCAGTAGTAAATCACATCTTTCAACTGTTTAGCTGACATATGGTCATCACTTTCAATTTCCTCCTCACCACTGTCAGCCTCTACCTGTAACATCTCATCCAGTTGCTTCAAGTCATCAGGAGTAAGTTCCTCCTCATGAGACATCACAAGCTCTTCCACATCCTCCTCCTCCACTTCAAGGCCCAATGACTGACCAATGGACACAACCTCCTGGTCCAACTGTTTCTTCCTCAAATCCCTCAAAATCATGGACTACTGATGGCCACAGTGCTTTCCATGAAGAATTGAGGGATCTAGTGGAGACTTCTTGCCATGATGACACAATCAATTTTACAGCCTCCAGGATGTTGAATTGTGTCTTCCAGAAATGTTTCAGTGTTAGTTCAGGATCATTGGAAGTTGCCTGATGACACCTCCTAAACATTTTCTTCATGTACAACTTCTTGAAGTTGCTGATCACATTCTGGTCCATTGGCTGTATGATTGATGTAGTGTTTGGAGGCAAAAACAACACTTTCACAAAGTCAAATTGATACTCCAAATTTCTGGCAAGGTCAGGGTCAGACCAGGAGCATTATCCATGAGGAGAAGAGCCTTTAAAGGGAGTTTATTGGTGGTTAGGTAGCTCTTGACAGAAGGGCAAAACACATCAACAGCCCATTCATTAAAGGGTTGTCTTGTCACCCATGCCTTAAGGTTGGACTTCCAATAAACTCCAAGCTTTGTTCTTACCACTTTCTGTTGCTTGAACACCCTGGGGTTTTCAGAGTGGTAGACAAGCATAGGCTTCAGTCGGAAACCCCCTGAAGCATTGGCACCAAGCAATAGAGTGAGACGGTCTTTCATGGGTTTATGCCCAGGTAAAGAGGCTTCATCTCTGGTGATGAATGTTCTTTTGGGCATCTTTTTCCAGAACAGCCCAGTTTCATCCACATTGAACACTTGCTGTGGAAGATAATTTTCTTCTTCCATCAGTTTTTTAAACTCATCGAAAAACTTTGCTGCCCCTTCCTTATCAGCACTAGCAGCTTCACCATGCCTAACACTGAAAATGTCACTTCTTTTCTTAAATTTTTCGAACCAGCCTTTGCTGGCCCGAAAATCTTCAAATTCTGTGCCTGAAGAACCAGGTTGATCTGTCTTTAAATGTTCGTAAATCTCCCTGGCTCTTTCACAAATGAATTCAGTAGAAACTGAATCACCTTTCATCTGTTTTTCCCTAATCCAGATGATAAGTAACCTCTCAGTTTCTGCAATTAGGGATCTACTTTTAAACACTTGTAGATTTGTCTCTCACTTTCACTTCTTTAAATTTGTCTTTCTGTGCAAGAATTGTCAACACAGTTGATGTCGATATGCCATATTCTTTGCATAGCGCATTTCTTCTAATGCCTTGTTCATGTTTTTTTTATGATTTCGTGCTTGGTTTGGATTGAAATTGCTTTTCTTGATCTCTTAGGCCCCATGCTGGATTCAAACAATGTCAACACGTGCTTTTCAAAGTTAAACTTGTTGTAAATAAAGAATATTTTCTTTAAAATAACACTGCACTGCACTATATATTGTCAATATGTAAAATAAATTTCAAAATGACCAATAATTTGCTTGGAAACACAGAAAAAAGCATTTAGTTGAAGAGAGTCTCAAGCAAGATGTTACCTCCAGTGAAAACAGAGAGAGACCAACGCCTGTTTGCTGTGTTAAGAGGCTGGACGCCGCGCATTAAACTAGTCACTTTACCTTCAATTATGTTCAATAAGTGTTAAAATGACTAAAAAATTTAATATTAAACTTTTAAAATTATTGAATAGTATAAACTTCTTGATATATACTAAAATAGTAAGGAATTTAAGCCCTAGAACCGATTAATGTACAATATTGGCGGACTAATACTACAGCTGGTTGACCGCCCAGTGCAAGCCAAAACTTGTTGAGGTCGGCTCGTAAGAAACTCGTTAACCGAATTTAAGAATCTTATGGGAGGTAACTCGTTAACTGAGGGACCACTGTACTAATTTTCCAAGGCTCGTACATTTATAAGTATTTTACAGATACATGTACTGTTTGTAGTACAATATCGATATTAACAGTTAAATGTATTGTGGTAAACTTCCTTGGTGTGGACTGTATAATACCTTTGCCTAATATTAGTTGATCATTGACAGCAGATCCAGTGCTCTTGTTTTCAGGACTCTGATACAAGGTTAAAGATAACTGCTTGATTCCTTTGAAAATACTTAAAATTATTTTTATTTTTATTTTAGTACTTTATTTGTATTTCATTTTTCAAAAGGTACAGACCATTACGTGGAAATAAGGATGAGCTTCGTACCATAGTAGAGGACTTCATAGAGCATCAGGACTATGAGAAAGCCTTCAAACAACTGGCATCTGGTGACTGGATGCCCTGGACCTTTTTCATCACTAAAAATAAGGCTCTTCAAGCAACTTTTAAGGTAGGAAATTAGTCAGTCCCAGTAGTTTCATACCTATTAGCTACTCATTTCTCAACACTGTATACCTTGATGTCTTCATTTTTTACTAAAATCTCATACTGTACTTAACTAAATTTTCAAATGTTGAGACATCCACTTGTACCTATTGAATCCTTTAAGACAATGTGGGGTGGGAGGGGGTGTTGAAGTGCTGTAATTTCTTTTACCACCTTATCTTGTTATGGAAACCATAAATTTGAAAAGTATAATCTAAATTTTCAAGTGGTGCTGTATGCTGAGGAATAATTGTTTTGCATGTTATTACAGTACAGTACAGTAAATTCAGTAGTTTGTGTTAGCTACAGTACTTCTACATTTTGTCATGTATTGCTGAATTGATGAAGATAAAATTTAGATGTGCAAGCAACAAAAGTTTTTAATACAAAGCAACACCTCTTGAACTTCCAGTTTTCAGCCATATTTACCTTAGAAGATTAAATTATATATTAATATTTTGAGTCAAACTGTGGTATAGAGAGACTTTTTGTTTGTTTACCAGTAGTGGACCTACCGTGTTATAATTGAATGGTTTTATCCACCAAATTGTCTGTTTGTTCATCTCTGAAACCATCACAGGTATGCAAAAAATTGGTTTAGACTCACTCCCCCAAATATTATTTTAGCATTATAGCAATTGCAGCTTAATTAGGAGACGTGACTACAATAGAAAGTTCCATGCTTCCAAAATTCGATCAACCATATCTTTCTAACTAAATGGAAGTGTCACTGAAATTTAGCTTGCAAACATCAATTCCCCCAGTGTGTACACTGTGCAATTAGTGTACATATAAAATATCCACCGCAATTTCTGGATTTTTGATGATTTGGCATGGAGTGACCTTTCTCCATACTTTGATTTAGTGCATTAATTAAAATTATGAGCTTTCTTTTTTACTCTCTTTGTATTTTAGGAACATGTATTTCGTTATCTACGAGTTTTTGACAAGGACAGCGGATTTGTGGTTAAGGCTTGCTACCGGTATTCAATGGAAGGCTGCATTGGGGCCAAGATATGTGCAACCAAGAAATGGTATGTAGCTACTTTGTGTTTCTTATGTCATGCCTGAATATAATCGAAATTCGAAATTTGAGTCATGTATTTTGGGGGGGGGGGTTGTTATGATACAATACTACCTAAGTGGGTGTGTTATGTTCAGCAGGGCATGTAAGGCAGACCTATTTTCTGGGGTAAGAATTGTTTGCACTAGCATTCATTCTTCACAGAGTGAATTGTATGTTTATTACACTTACAGTATTTCTTGACTAAGAAGACTTCTTGTTTGTAGCGAGTCTGAACATTTGGAAACATTTTCATACCTTATAGACAATCGTCACTATACATTCCCGTTACACATATTTTTGCATCTAGGAAATTCCTAAATTAGTAAAAAATTATCATTGTGTACCTAAGAGGTGCCACTTGAAAAATGTGGTAAACAGACTAATGGTAATAAAGACGTTTGCTCTTAGCACTTTACAGTACAGGTATTTAAAGTTTTTCTCCATTCTCATTGCATAAATTTTATATTGTTTTGTGGTATATGACATATCACATTTCTGCTGTTGATACTTTACAGGTATAAGAATGAGCAGATTGGGTTTTTGGTTGGCTGTATTGCTGAGTTGAGTGAAGAGGAAGAAACTCAGCTATTACATCCTGGCAAGAATGATTTCTCTGTCATGTATTCCTGTAGAAAAAATTGTGCACAGCTATGGCTTGGACCCGCAGCTTTTATTAATCATGATTGTCGTGCCAATTGCAAGGTAATAACCAAAATCTTCTTCCGTTTAATAAACAGCCTCCTCCACCTTATCCCCTCTTATTTTTTCTTTCCTTATTTATTTTCCCCTTAGCACTAAGAACAGAATAAACTAAGTACATTTATATTTAAGAATGGCAGCCCTACATGGTGAGTTTGGAATATGTATGTTAAATATTACAGTATATCTACTTCCTAGGAACATTATGTAAATATGGAGCACATAGTAGTGACAATGCAGTTTCAGTGAATGCTTCTCTCAAATTGGTGTGATGATAAATTCTGTAAATTTTGTAGTCTGTTTATTTACCCTGCTGTATTTTCATAGCCCCATTTGATATAAGTAACAATCTACCGTACTGTACTATCTTTGTTTATCTCCCACATGATTGGGATGCATTAAGTGAAACAGTTTTTAAGAAAGACAGGATATAGTAAAATACTGTAGTGCTATAAAAATATTATTTCTAATATACCAAATATACCAGAGTGCAGTATTTACTTACCTTATTAAAGAACAAACTACAAAGAGTAGTAAGTACTTATACTGTAGAGCTCACACAAATGTCCAGCTAGCTTTGAGTGAGTGGTGTATCATAGAAGAGGAGCCATATGGGAGTAGGTTAAAGGTACCATGATGAATGATCTGAAAGAGACAGATATGCCATCATTATAAGGAAAATTGTCATGGCACTGATAATTCTGCTTTTAGATTCCACGTCCATGTCACTTGTATCAGTTTAAATTAATTATCCTGTTGTGGTTGGGAAGATATTACATTAGTAGTACAGTAACTGCCATTATGTTTATGGGGTGTAAGAGCAACTTAGTCATGTTAACCAATTGTATAATTTCAAGCCATCTGCTTACTACCAATCATAAAATGGTATTTTTTAAGCTATACCATTCGTGAAAGTTTCTCATATCTAAATGATTCACCTGTTTCCTATTCTGACTTTACTATCAGAGTTAAAACAACTTACTGTGAATTGTTTCATGTTCAGCCTTTATATATACATGTACAGTCTCTCCTCGACTTACGACAACCCGGACATATGACGGTCATGGTCGTATAAAATATTTTTCACATTACGTATTTTCGAGTCCCAACGTTAGTGATCGAGCTGTGTACTGACAAAATTTTTGTTTGTAATTCCCTTTAAAATGGCTGGCAAGCGTAAAAGTGAGAGTTCTCGTGGTGTCTGAGAAGAAAGACACCCATTTTAGAATTTCTATGTATTATTTTCGCCTTTTCGACTTACGACCTGGTCGTCGGGACGGAACCCTATCATAAGTCGAGGAGAGACTGTACTCTATAATTTTAACCTTTTCTGGTATGTTCCATTGATTTGCTGTACCTTTGTGTACAGCACTGAATGCTTTATAATATTTTACTCTTTTTAATTCAACAAATACTGTATGTGATTAAGAAATAGTAACTACCATAATTCCCTATATGGAAAATGGCAAAACACTTAAAATACAGGGTATCCTCGCTTAACATCGGGGTTATGTTCCTGAAAACGCGACGTTATGCGAAACAACGTTAAGTGGATCACTTTTCCCCGTAAGAAATAGATAAAGTATGGGAGTTTGGTTCCTGAGCCTCCCTTTGCCCCATGAATAAACTTGCATATACAGAAAATCATTGCCATTTCTTTAGAGAATAGTATATAGAACTACAATACTAAGTTTATATTGGTACTCACCGATGGGCGGAGGTGGTTGAGCGAGTGTGTGGTGGGTAGTGGAGCGAAGGAGGAGGAGGGTGGTGAGTCACCGAGACTCTGCGGCTGCCTCCTCCTCCTCTGACTGGGTTTCCTCCACCGCTGCTTGCTCCTCCTCGGCTGCCGGTTGTTGTGAAGAAGCTCCTTCTGCCGTCCTGTCACGAAAAAATTAATCCAGTGTTGACTGCTTGGTGCTACTCATCTTCTGCTTATAGATCTCGGTGCAGCAACCAAGACTGTCCTCAATGCTGCGTTAACCTTTGAGCTCCGTTCTCTATTTGGGTCATCATCTAGAAGCATTTGCATTGCTTGCTGGAACATGTTCAACGAGTTTGCCAACCTCTTGGAAGTTAGCATTCGTTGAGGTTCGTCTTCAACGGGACTATGTTCTGTTAATTGTTGCAGATGTTCGTTGGCAAGCTCTTCTGTATGGGATGCCAGGACGTCCTCAATATCCTCTGATTCCAGCTCATCAAAGCCTACCTGTCTAGCCAAGCTGAGGATATCCCTATTCACAGCTGGGACCAAGTCCGTGAGTCCCATAAATCTCTTGACACACTCAGGCCACAGTTTACGCCACACACCATTCAGGCAACTTTCTGAATCCTCTTCCCATGCCTTGCCAATGTTGTCAATTGCATGAAGAATGTTGAAGCCGCGCCAATATTCTCGGATCGTTGGTTTATTTTCTCCATCTGTAGCCTTGAGCAGCTGAGCCAATTGACGGCGTAAATAATATGCCTTGAATGCAGCGATGGCGCCTTGGTCCATAGGCTGCATCAGTGCTGTGGTGTTGGGAGGCAGGAATACAACTTTTACACTGTCATGCAAGTTGTCGAGATTGGGAGGATGAACTGGAGCATTGTCAAGGATCAGAAGAATTTTGAAGTTAAGGTTCTCCTTGGCACAGTATTCCTTCAGTGCAGGGACGGCAAACACGTTTAACCACTGGCTAAATATGGCGTCAGTTATCCATGCCTTTTGTTTGCCTTGTAAATGACAGGAAGGTGATTCTTAGAGTAACCTTTCAGGGCCCATGGGTTGGCAGCACGGGAAATCAGCATAGGCTTCAGCTTGAAGTCACCGGCAGCATTCGTGCCAAGCAGCCGCATCAAGCGGTCTTTTGCCTCTTTAAAACCTGGCGCTCTTTTCTCCTCCTTGGAGATATAGGTCCTCTCAGGCATCCTCTTCCAAAAGAGACCAGTCTCATCCACATTGAAGACTTACTTCGGTGAGTAGCCTCCTTGCTGGATAATCCGTTTGAATTGTGGCGGGAATGTCTTGGCAGCAACCGTATCTGAACTGGCAGCTTCACCAGTCATCTTAATATTGTGGAAGTTATAATGACGCTTAAATCGTTGAAACCATCCTCGGCTGGCCGTAAAGTCTCTTCCTTCGATCCTTCACTCTCTTCTGCCTTTAAGTCGTCAAACAAGGATCTGGCCTTTTGCTGGATCCATATTGCCAGCATCTTTTCCACCTTCTCTATCACAGTGCCTCTAGTACGAGTCATCTTAGTAGCACTCGGAGAAGAACCACTTCCCGCACTAACTTTAATCTTGTCAGCGTTGGTCCGGATAGTATGCACCATTGTGGGGGTTAGACCAAGCACAGCGGCTATATCCACATCACGTTCCCCTTTTTCAAATCGGGTTAATACATCCATTTTCATAGCATGGGTAATGGTCTTACGTTGCCTCTTCACTACACTAGCATCAGTAGCACTTGATGAGCGCTTGGAAGCCATTTTGAATGGTTAGAGTACAGTTTTAGAGCAAAAGCACTTAAGCACACACCAATGATGTGAAGTCGTAACAGAGACTGGCTTGGCATCACTTGGGGACGCTGTGACGTTCCGCGAGTGAGGGCAGCACGCTGAGCCGAGAGAGCGTAGCGCAGCCTGACGAGAGCGGGTGATGCGCTGTAGAAAGTGTTCCGTGACGGCACAAAACGACGTAGTATCGGATCACTGGAACGTTAAATGAATTTTTGGTCTCTAAAGTTCAGTGACGTAGTACCGAAACAACGTTGAGCGGGATGACGTTAAGTGAGGATTTGCTGTACCCCAAAATTTATTATCAGCTCTGTGCAAACCTTGATTGCATTTCCTAAGAGGCGATCATTTGGAAGTTGCAGATTTTTTTTTTTGTGCACCAAGAAAGATACGGTACCACATATTATATATAGTACAGTACAGTATGAGATTTTGGTTTCGTAAATTCCAATCATGGACACTTAAAGCAATTATTGGAACCTATGGCTCATTATAACTCGACCATAGACATCTGTCAATCTGAAGTAGCAGTAAAGTGTTGATTTAAAGAATAGGTCAATACTATTTTTCCAAAGACACGGTATAGATAAAAGTTAACTCCATATTGCTTAGATATTGCATAATTATATTTGGTAAGTATTATGGGTGAAAATTCTGAAGAAAAAAAACATGTCTTAAAAATATAATTTGAGCACTATAATTACACTTCTATATAAAAAAAATTCTCATTGCCCAGAATCAATAGTATTTTTTCATTTAACAGTGTTTTGTACTGCATGGCTCCTCATTCTAATGCAGCATACAATGTGGTTCATATTCATTCTTACTAAAAAAGATGCGTCATCAAATTTAGGGGAAAATTACTGTAAAATAATTCCTTTTCACTAATCAATATTACCTGGGTTTTTTTTTTTTTTTTACAAAATTGAAATATTTATATACCCCGGTACATTATCTTGTATTCCCCCCTTATTCTTTCTTCCTTTCAGTTTACTGCAACAGGCCGTGGAACAGCATGCGTGAAAGTTTTAAGAGATATTGAAGAAGGTGAAGAGATCACCTGCTTCTATGGGGAAGATTTTTTTGGGGACAACAACTCTTATTGTGAATGCATCACATGTGAAAGGTAATTATTCAACAATAAGGCTGAATTTTTTTTATTTGTATAACTTATTTATTATTAATATATTGTACTAAACAAAGTTTTAATTTCTAACCCATTGCCCACTACAAGGCGACATTTTAATTATTCGGTACTAAAGCGTCAAGTCCAAACCTAGTAGAGCCTTGATTTTATGATTGCATCAACTAATCTGATGCTTGTGATTTGGAAGATGGAAATTTGTTTTATAGCATATAATATTGCTGCTATTAAGCATTTTGTAAGCCGACTCATAGTTTTGTAATGGAGAGAGCCTCTTCCCCATTGTGATGATTGCCTGGTCCCATTGACTGTTTGACTCATCCTAGTGGAGTGCCTCATTCCTAGATATCTTCAGAGTAATTACCATACCACGTGCCTGGAGGAGACGGATCTTACCGCCTCTCTTTGGTGCTGGGTGGGAAGGGATGTTCTCTCCTTCATGGAGGAAGCCAGCCTTCTACACAAACACTGAGTTTTATATATTAATGTTTAAATGGCTTTTACAAATGTTCTATGCTATTTATTAGTGTATTTGTTTTTTTTTTTACCTTCCATTATTGGTTTTTAGCCTTCTACGCTTTTAGTTTAATTTGGCAGCATATGACCTAAGCTGTTGCGTTGCAAGGGATGTAATTATCACAATCAATCAATCCTAACTAAGTGGAGGAAATGTCTGTCCAGTTTGGGTGAAATTCAGGGTTGGGTGGGGTCTGTATTGTCTATATTGTAAGGTGGAAAATGCCGAGGGGCAGAAGGGATTAAGCTACCTAAGGACAGCGAACCTATTGTAATTTTTAGACTAGTCATAACACCCTCTGGTTTTTTATACACCAAATGAGCATTTTTTTTTTTTTTTTTTATTACCCACTTGCGGGTTAACATTGTGGAAAAAGGGTTAACATTTTCTTGGTCTCATACGCTCTCGGCGGGTCACCAAACGGCTGGTGTTGTCTGAAGCTCTCATACGCCTGGCAGCATTGTGTGCGTGTGCTGTCACAGGTGTTACACTTGTCTCCATTCAAGCCTCATGCCCAAAAATACATCCATGCATTACTGCACTTTTTTCTTTTCCTTTTTAATGGGATCATAATTATTTCACTTTATATAAGAAAGTCCCTGGAAGACTATACTACTCTTGATTTATGAATCTTCAATTTGCAAAAGGTTTTTCAGGATCACAATCCTTTTTTGTAAGTCTGGGTTTGCCTGGATCTATTTAAATCTAATATTTACATATATATGATATATATGATAGGAATTTTGCTTGAATTAAATCCCAATTATTTATTATTATTATTGTTATCTTTATTATTACTTCATTTGCTTTGTATTTTTACAGGCGAGGCACGGGAGCATTTGCAAATAAGAAGAATGAAGATGATGTAGAAAAAGGTTACAGACTCAGAGAAACTGATTTAAGGCTTCGGATAAGTCGCCAAAGACTACGCAACCAACAAAAAAAAGGAGAGGAAGTGATCAGTAAAGGGAAGAGTGAGGGTGCAGTTAGTTTAAAGGTGGATGGTGGTGACCACAAGTTAAAAATGAACAATATATCTGCGAAGGTGAATGGTGAGGTGGTAAGACGAGAACTAAGGACTAGAGGGGGATCTCGAGACTCTGACAAGTCGGACATTAGTACTGATAGTGGCTCCACCCAAGCTAATGTTAAGCGCTCTGGCTCTCAGGCCCATCCTCATTTGAATGGTTTATATCCAAAAGCAAAGAACAGGAGAACAAGTTCTGATAGTGCTCAGGAAAACATTGATATTACCATTGAAAATTGTGATGACCAAGTGAAAACCCTTGGTTCAGATAAATTTCTTAAGAATGTTGTAAATAAGGGGCGCCCTCAAACTAGAAGTTGTGTAGTTGCTATTGAGAGTACTCTCAAAGAAGGAAAGGTTCCTGGTGATACAAATACTAATGAACCTCCAAATGGGAGGCACCTTGACTCCAAGGGAATCAAGTTGCGTAGCCGCCGTCAGCTGACCACTGCCATGAAGGAGGTGGGATATACCCGTATTTTAAGGGGGCATCACAACCGCTCTGGCAATATTGACATAAAGACTCCCACAACTTTTTTTGAGGATGTAGTTGAACGAGAGGAAAGTGAGCCAGAGTCGGCAGCAGGAAGTAACTTGCTCATGCCCAGTGAAGACGAGTCTGCAATAGTCTCAGGGAATGACCCTCTGGTCAGGACGACATTGTCTGAGGAAACCACCAGAGAAATTGCTCCAAGGGAATTGATTCAAAGAGAAGTAAATGCAAGGGAAGCAGCACCCAGCTCAAACTGCTTTGTGGATCTCAGTCGGGTTAAGTTAACAGATCACATGCAGGCTGAGATTATGAACGAAACTTCTCAGCAGAACCGTAGTGTTACTAGCCCAAATTTACAGTGTATGCCTGTAAGTGGAAGACCCCCTCTGCGCAGGTTACGCAGACCCCCTGGTGAAAAATGTGATAACTCTAGTTTAGGTTACATTAGTGTAGGAAATAACTGTTCTAGTAATATAATTAACAATAACACTGACAAAGTTTCAGAACAATCACTGCCAACCTCTCAGTTACCTCAGCAGTCTAGTAGTGTTAAAAATGAGGTAAATAGCTTGGAACCTCATAGCAAAAAGACCAAGCATTCAAAGTGCAAACAGACAGCTTTAAAAGACATAGGCAGTACAATGGTCAGTCATTCTGGTTCTAGTGGAGCGGAAACAGTTACAGCCAATCTTTCACCAGAAAAAGATGTGTATGAATTTGAAGAAGAGGATGATTCAGCTTCACCTGGATCATTAAGGGTGGGTAAAATGGCTGTTGGGTGTGGTCGCTGGGGAAGAAATGTTACTAGTGAGTGTAGGACATCTCCTCAATGTGAATCTCCCCCTCATCCATTGATTGGTTACACTCCATCTTCTCCTCCAGCAACCATGGTCACCCCAGAGAAAAGTGGAAGGTGTGGGGTAAAGTTAAGGCTGCGGATGAAGCGATCTCCTGTGTTAGATGAGGTTATAGAAGTTGGGTCTCATCTCTCGGATTCAGGAGTTGCATATGAACCTGAATATGAGGTATTGACTGTAGAAGGTATCACAAACCAGGACTATCAGACTGATCACCACCACCATCACCACCATCACCGACGACATCGTAAGAAGCACCATCGTGAACACCGCCGTCGATCTGACTCATCAGAAGGAGAGAGTACTGATGGAGACAGCACAGCATCACCTCGACCCACTATGAAGCGGCTTCGTCTAATATTGGGTAACGAGACACACACGATCACGATCCCTGACACTCACCTTGACCACAAGTAGCACGTAAGCCACCCGCGATCCATTGTCCCTCAACATCCCCCACCATTTCCTACCTTCAGAACAACAGCGTGTAATTGAGCCTATACTCCCACAGCCAATTGAACTTCCTATTGTAGGTCAGCCTGTGTCCCATCAACTAAACACAATTCTACCATTTCTTAAACATATACCAGCCAAACTCCATCTGATCCACATAATTTATACTATCATAAATTTCCTTAACATTTACCAATCAAATTCCACCTTATTCACATAAGTGATGATGTGTTCTCTTTAACATATACCAGTCAGACCCCCTTCTGATCTACTCCTTCATCACAGCCAAGGTTCATCTGTTGGCCCAGTTCATTATTTAATCACTGGACCACATGGTGGACAATCATTAGTCTACGAGTGGTCTAGCTGTTGCATCGTGTAATAGGATTGGCACTGTGCTTTACTGGAAGGGTAAGGGGTGTTTAATTTACCAAGTATTTGTAAGTTATATGTATGATGTTTTGTAAATTGTTATATTTGTTTCTACACGGGTCGCGGGTGTAGACATTTAAGTAAAACTTTTTTCTTTTCTTTTTAGGTAGATTGATTTTTTATGAATTTTTATTTATTTATTTTTTAATTTTTTATTTATTTTTTTTTTTTTGCCAATACCGATAATTAGTAATCATTGTGATTATAATTATTTACACAAACCTTTATCATATTTCTCAAAAAAATTCTGTGATTGTGTTGATTTTTCAGCGTTAGAAGAACTAGTTTGAGACTATGAATGATGACCTAGACAGAACCATCAGTGTTTGCAGTAACTCGACAGCACCTCCGGGAGCAATGTCATGGGCTTAAAAGGTTTGACCAAGTCAACTAATCACTTTCGAGGATCAGCGCACAATAATTTCTCCAAGCCAGTCAACTAGTTCTGGGATAGCATGCTTTGTCCAGAGAAGTTTATTATTTCCTAGAAGAAGTTGTTAAATGGATGGATTGATTTATTATCGATGATGTAGTAGAGTGTAGAAAGAGCTATGCTGCAGAGTTAACAGCTGAGTGGTTACAGTATGCGCTTGTTCTTGCAGCCCTTGCCTGTATTCGTGAATTCAGTTAGGGTGACAAGATCATGAAAAAGCTCTTGTGCTTGTTTAGAATGAAAATGCTTTTAATTCCAGCAGCTAGAATTCGAAACTTGAGGGTTTTTAAAGAGGGCTGTATCAACAAGGCAGCACTGTATTTGGCCAAACCTGACAGGCCACTTTTAATTACACTCTTCATCGGCACCATTCCACTCTTGTCTATCTTGTCATGATTTTTGGAAGATGACTGTCAATACTGTGTATTGATGTTTTGAGTACCAAGTCACTGGTAGCTCTTTAACGGTGGTGTTAATAAAAGTTGTAGAAGTGAAGCATTATTTCATACATCCTTTATTTAATTCCTGAACTTTCACTGCCAATAATTTACATTCTTATGAAACTGGAATGACAAAATATCATATCATACATAACCGGAGAAATGTACAGTACTGCATAAAGTGATTATTTAACTATCACAAATGTTTTTTTTTATTAAAGTATCTTATCATAGTTGAAATAGGGAACCAGAAGTTAGTAATATGATGCATTTAATAGAGTTTAAGTTTATCAATTTGCATATACATTACAGTATTAAGATGAGAATTAATACAAATACTGTACTGTACTTCATATACATGATTGTGTGGGTAAAAAACTGCACCTCATTGGGAATTCATGTTAGGCTGATTCACATGTTAATTTCTTGAGTATTATTTAAATTTCCCAGTAACTTCTTTTACCTTGGGCCCTTTCATATGAGTAGCCCAGCAATAGTTGAGCTGGTCCAGCTGCTTGTATGTGAATGCTGGTTTTTAAGCGGCAGAATGCCCTTGCTTAACTAATAGTGTATGGGGTCCCCTCTCTGCTGAATAAAATTGTCTGGCATTAGCCAAATAAAATATAAAAAAAAGGCTTCCCCACAGTGAAAGGGTTAGGAAAAATAGTCTGCTAACCACTAGTGTATCCATCCTCCATTTGCTGAATAAAATCCTCTGACAGCCAAATAAAATATTAAACGTGTTAACCATAGCTAAATTTTTTTTTTTTTTTTTTTTTTACACACACTGGGATTAGCCCACTCAGGCACAGGTCACTGACCCACATCGGGGCCTGGGGGCGAAAATTTAATAATTCATAATAAAAATAAGACTAATGAAATGATAATAGTATTACTAATAATAAAGACGTACAAAAAAAAAGAGGAGAGAAACCATATATGTATGTCGTGTTGTCAATTGTGTGTAAATGAGGCAGAAAGTCAGATTGGCAACATGGGACTTGGTCACAATTTTTGTGGTACCATATGGCGGCAGGGTCTACCATTGAACAAAACATTATGCTTTCAATATCTTCCCAGGCGGTAGTACGATTAGGATGTGGATTCAAATCCTACGGGGGAAAATAAATATATTTTTACATAGCATGTAAAATGATGCATACATCCTGCCCTGAATTTTTTTTTTAAATGGCAACTACCGTAGTGCATTGTCACCTGTGATCTCATTCTTTCCTATAAACTAGTTGGCGAGAGGACATCTATGTTGCCCACTGTAAGCTCAGCTTGAGGATATTTTCCTTTTTATTTTTCACAATTTATAATGTAGGTAATCTTAGAACATCTGTATTATAAACCTCTGGGATTGGATGTTTACCAATATTTCAAGGGAACTTGTTAAGCTGTTCAATTTTACTTCATTGACCCCTTGAGTACAGGTACAATGAATTACCCTCTCAAGTATGATTAAAATAACCCTTTTGAGAACAGTGAATTAACCCTTTAAGATATCTTAACCCCATAGTTTTCATGACATAACCCCTCGAGTACAATGACTTAAACCCAGAGTTTTAATCACCAGTTTAAAAAAAAATTTGTCATGAAGGACATTATTATAGTGCTTGACAGGAAAGTGTGGCAGTAAAAATGATATAATTAAAATATAACTTAATTTTACTGCCACACCTCCCCGTTAAGCACTAGTGTGGTGTCCTTTGTGACTCCAATTTTTTAAAACTGGTTGCAAACACGATGCCCCCATCAACAGAAGAGGGTGATTAAAACTCCAGGCATTAATTCCTTCAGCACAATGATCACCCTCTTTAAGTACAATTGCCATTGTAATGAAGAGAATATAGTGTCATATTGAAAGGGTTAAGACATCACATACAAGAAGTTTAGTCATTATACTCGAGGGATTAATAAGACCATCCTTGGTTCCAACCGAGTCGAAGTAAAATATATGTTGGAGATCAGATGAATCCACTTTTTAATCCTTAATACAGTAAGTATTAGAATAAATGTCTTTACCAGTTGCAGAAGGTCTTCAAATGCCATCACAGCCTATCAGATCATATAATGGCTTGATGTGCTAGAATCGCCATTATATCCAGTGGTGAATAGAGGTGGGGAGACATCCCGTCCTGGTTTCACCCAACAACTTACATTAAGTAATGATGGCAACCCAGGTAAGCATGAAAAGTGGTCACAAAAAGTTGTTAATGATGAATGGAACTAGAGACAAATTGTCAAGGAATGATTGGTACAGTGCATGAAATGAAATTAATCAGCTGTTAGTGCATGAAATGAAATTAATCAGTTGTTAGCTGATAGTTCCATAGGTGAGCATCAGGAAAATTTTAGAAATGGGATGTCGCATTAAAAAATTAGAAGAGGCTTATATAAATATAAAGCTGCATTCACGTATTTAATAAGAAAAGGTAAATGGGAAGAACAGTTTGTTTAGGCTTGTTTAGGCTATAAAATTTGTATGGTGGACGCAGTTCATATGTGAAAAATAACTGGTTTGAGCGAGTACATGTAGTTTGAAATAATTGTAGGAGTACAGTATATCAGGTGTCTGGTGTCATCATGATTATTTATTATCTTCTTAGATGTCACAGTCAGAATGGGTGATAATGGTAGGCACCAAGATAGACTGAAGAGATTGTGTTTATTAAATGTGGATGAGGCCATGCTGTTAACAGGTTCTGGGGGAGAGTTATGAGAATGATGTTATATTTTAATGAAGTACAGTAATATTTCCGTCAGCCGGAATCCCTCAAACCCCGAACTCTCCGATAGACGGAATTGAAATTTTCTCGGAAAATCGTTCCCAAAGCTGGAATTTTCTGGAAATTCCAGCTTTGGGGACGATTTTCCGAGGGGCACATTTTCAGGAAAATCACGAGAAAATTTTCCTGATACCCAGAAAATTCCAGGGATGGGGTTTTTTTTTTCCGGGTTTGAGAGAAAAATCAGGTGCATTTTTTTTAATTCCAAGAAAAAATTTACGTTACCAGGAAAATTCAGGGGATGAGGGACATTTTTCCGAGTTTGAGAGATGATGTAATGGGAAATATATGGAACTTTTGAGAACATTTTTCCATTACCCGGGAAATTCCGGGGATGGGGGATTTTTTCCGGCTTTGAGAGTCGTCTCGTTACCCGGAAATCACTCATTCCCAGAAGTGCACTGCACCAATTGTTCCGGCTAACGGGGATATCACTGTACGTATACAGAAGAGTGTTGGAGATGAAGATGGCAAAATTTTTGAGAGGACAGTATCAGTATTCAGTATGCTCACAATGGATGGAGAAGAAATGGATTTTGTGAATGAATTTAAGAATAAGAGAACTAACAGTAAAGAACTGTTGTGACTTTTTCCCCTTGTCTGTCTACCACCCAGTCAGCTGCATTGCTACAAACTGACCCGAGGCTTCGGTCGCAAGCTACGAGTGAATAGACTATGTGTTATCATTGTGAATCTCTCGCCCAAGGGCAATTCCAGATGATAGCCAGGCTTTCATCATGAAACGCACATCCACTGGTGATATGATCATGTAGTTGCCTACCTGGCTATCTAATTCTCATCTAACCACCCCAAGAGAGGGGGGGGGGGGGCCACCTATGACAGCAAACTCTCCTCGGCTGTCATTCTTAGTGATAGTTCCTAAATTGTAACATCTGTCCAACTCACCTGAAACTATCCTGCTTTCCTAATCTTGAGCCCTCCATCCCACATTTGGTAACTTAATAGGCTCAATAACAATCTTACATCCCTAGTCCCAAGCCAATTCAAACATACTTTAATACAAGCATCATGTCTGGCTTCGTCAGCCATCTCATATCTTCAACCATAACAAGGCATCGCCCTTCAAGTATTCTTGGCCTTGTTTGCCATCCCATATCTAACACTCGGTTGCCTTACCCTCCCATATTTTGACTTATCAACCACACTTGCAGTATATCTGGCCTTCTCGGTGCACTGATGATGAGATCTTGCAACACAGGTTGGGGTAAATCATACCAAAAGAGCAATTCCTTTGGTTCATCAAACCCTCAAACCTTTTCAGCCAAATGACTGGAGATGGCAGGGGAACAATAGACCCCAGCTCTAGGGATGGCAGTGAGGAAGTGTCCCCATGGCTAAAGATGGCAGTGGGGCCCCAAGGCTGAGAATGGCAGTGGGGCCCCAAGGCTGAGAATGGCAGTGGGATCCCAAGGATGGGAATGACAGTGGGATCCCAATGCTAGGAATGATAGTGGGACAGTAGACCCCAAGGCTGAGGATAGCAGTGGGACAGTAGACCCCAAGGCTGAGGATAGCAGTGGGACAGTTGGCCCCAAGTCTTGGGACAGCACTGAAACAGAAGACCCCAAGGTAGGGAACAGCAGTGGGGTAGCGGACCCCACTTATTTTGGGAAAATAGTTTAAATTTTATGGACGTACAACAGTTAAAATATACCAGAAAAAACACAAAACTTGGAGTAATTTCAATGTATACCCAAGGAAAAAGATTAAATTATGGAAAAATAAATAAATATCTGTAATAAAGTTCATTGTATACCCGGGGATTTGTTATTTAAAATATACTTACAAAACACTGTACAGAATACAGAGCAAGGTACACAAAATTCAAAGTAAAATGCAACACCACCTCTAAACAAGGAAGGGGCTCACCTGGTAGGCTGGATGCTCCTCAGTCTGGTGTAGGGTGACCAGAACTATCAAGGAAACCTGCTTGCTTGGCCTTCCCTGGGATCATCCATGGGCCAGTGGTAGATCTAAGTATACCTAGAAAAAAGTTCATAGAGAAAAGTTTAAGATGAAGAAAAGAATTACACAAGAAAAAATTTCATCTGAAAAAATACAAAATTCAAAGTATGGGTATGCTTATGAAAAGAATGTAAACCAGAGATAAAGATGAAAGTAAACCTAGGGATAAATACTTTAAAGTACACTATAAAATATCAAAGTTTACCCGAGGAAAAATTAATTACACCTAAAAAGTAACATGTATACCTGGGGATAAGCTGTTTAAAGTTTACCTGAAGATACAGAAAGAATCAGAGTTCACAGTAAACCTGGAATTTTTTTTATATACCTGTATACAGTACTGTACCTGAAAAAAAATATGAAGTTCCAAGTGTACCCAAGAAAATTGAAAATTATAAATTGGAAAAAATACAAAGGGCAAATGCAGAGTCCACGGGCGGTTAAGGCGTATAAAGTCCAAGAAGGTACTTATGACTCGCATGCAAAGTCCAGTCGGGGAATGAGACAAATACAATGTTATGACTGGGAATTAAATATGCAAAAGTCCTGGAAGGGAAAGTGAAATGTAGAGATCAGGGATATTGTTGCTTATTGTTGTTTTAGTTATGGTTTGTCACAGTAAGGGTTTAATGCAAGTACTGTACAATATAATCATAGGAAAAGCTCACATCAATAAAATCTTGGAGGCAATTCAGGTAATGGTGCAGCAGACAGCGAACACCAGAAGGAGCTGTTCGATTACGTTATTCTTTTCCACGTTCTTTGGATGATATTAATAAAGAAAATCGATAAGACAACTTCTTCTTTGAATTATAATTTTTTCTCTATGATCATAAATCACCTGTAGAAGGCAGGGTATGAAGGATAAGGGGCATTCCAGGGTAAAGCATGGAAAAAAATTACCCTATGACATTAAAATGGTATCTCTACGTGCTTTGTAAATGAAGAAATGATTGACCATAAATAATCCGATGAAAAATCTGCCGTGTTGTCATCCACTCTCTGTTTCAGCGCAACAACCAACCCGTTCGGTCAGAGTGTACTCTCATGTACACAAATAGCGTTAAATTACACCATGCTGCTTCAGGAAATTTGCTTTCATTGGTACCAGATATCAAAGTAAGTTCTTTCTGTTTAATATGCCCCGGGCTGCTCGGAAGTTGAGTAACATAGGTAGTTTCGGCTAATATGGGCTAATATGGAGGACTTCACAGCCGATGCGCTATTTGTTTTGATGTTTATTTTCTTACTATATTTTCATCTGTGAGTTCAGATATAATAATAATTTTTATGTAAATTGATTTGTTTGGTTGATAATTAGGCAACCAAGCGGGCACTACTTTGTCTAGCTCACATTACTTCGTATTTCTCGGCTTGATACGGCAGTACATAGCCAATCATCTCCGATAGACGCCAGCAGTCAGTTGCCAGTCAAGTTTATAAGTCACACAGATCAAGGGTTGCTACTCTCACGTCCACAAAAAATTATAATTACATCATATAATAGTAAGTTCTTTCTGATTAATATGCCGGGGGGTTCTGGAGGGTTGAGCTCATGGCTAGAAAGTTAGGTAAGGTTAGGTCGGTTTCTCTGGTTAGTTTGGTGAGGTCTTCTAAACACTTCTGTCGCTTGTTTTTCTTATCAACTAAGGTTAGGTTAGGTTTAATTTAATTTAGAAGTAACCACTTTCTAACACATTTGCCATAACCACAACAGTGTCCACTATAATACACAGTGAAATTGTGGCATTTTTAAATCCGTTTTCTATGAAAATTCAGCGGCTGTGAAGTAAATAATAACCATAATTTCTTTGGTTAGGTTGGTTAGGTCAGGTTCTATTAGGTTCTGTGTACAAGTATTGTCTTATCATTTGTGGAAACAATTAACAAAATCTAACAACTCCTTCTGGTGTTAGCTGTCTGTTCCACATTTACCAGAAAGTGTTTTAGGTAAATATTATGGAAGACTTAAGGTGAGTTTTAATAGAGAAAATTGTGTAAAACACCAAATTGGCACAAAGCTTCATCTGGGCAACATGTACTGTACTAAAACTTAAGTCATTGTTTGAGTGTTGACTTAAATTACATCATTCATTGAAAATTTACGCATCACATCATCCGGTATTTCCAATGATACAATTTACTGAAATAATATGCAAACAGTTTCAAGATTTAAAACTGGTTCTGGGGAAGGGGGACACGTTATTAACCTACTGCAAAAAATAATAATAATTACTTATAGAGTCTATCAATCTTGGGCACAGGGTTTACAGTCCCATCAACCGTTGGCTGATATATAACAGCATTTACTATTAGAAAGAAAAGGTGTAAAATTATCTTAATTATTGCACTAGTACCTTCCTCACACCAATGATAAAATACTAGTAAGGATAGTTCACCAAACACTTGTTTTATCCATAATGCACACCTCGGTGACATCACTACTTACATCAACTGGTGACAAGCAGGCGGCGGGAAATGCTGTTATGTTACTACTTCGCTTCAACAACGAAGGTCTTTAAGTGCATAACAAGATTATTATACTGTAATATACATTAATCCAACAAAAATTAAAAATTACGAAAGATAGAACTGTGTCAGCGAATGGTTGTGGCGTCCTAGTAACATCTGGCGGATTGACACATTCTCATTATTGAAAGGACTTGAGATTAACAAGAGGTTGACAGGATACATAAGAATATACCAAAAATATGTGGCACCCTTCCATGTAATATACATAAATGAGTATTGAAAATAGACACAAAAAACACGTAGCACTAGTACCTGTATACACCGACTAAAATCCCGCCAAATTTCCGATAGAGGAGGAGAGGGCACGAGGATATTTGAAATTTATTTGCGTGTTCAATTTGGCTCAAAGTTTATCAGAATGATCAGTTGAGTCTCATTATATTCTCATTTGAAAAGTATGATTTATTTAAAATTATTCATAACTATTGTTAAGACATGCTCAGTAGAGAAATAGAATGCCTAACCCAAAATCCACAAAAATGACAGCACTATTTCGTGTAATGGTTGGCATGGCTCTAAAGAAGGGTCCGTCGTAGAGAGAGAGAGATGAGTGTCATTTGGGCAAAAACAGTATATTTAGAAAACTCCCTTTCCTTCTTTTTTTCTTTTTTTTTCTTTAGACATTGGGTCATACCTCGCGCCAGGGTGATGATGCGTGAAGAGAGAGAGATAAAAAAGATGACGACGTACCAAATCCTGCATTGTTTGTCAAGAAGGATAATGACTGGAATTTTCTGGCATCAACTTTTAAAATGTTAGGTTTTCCCCAGCGTAGGTTTGCGACGTTGGAATGAGAATTGTCTTCTGGCGGATACGTGTTTTTGTTTTGGGGGGTGGTAACGAGGTCCTAAACAAATAAGAGATGCAGTATATGAATAAGGCAAAGAAAACTTACGACAACAAATCAGTTATAAATCTCAAAAACATATACTATACCCCTATTAATCTACGGCTGTCTTAGATTTTCTCTCAGCTTCATTTTTTAACCCCCTCCCTGGGACCCTCCAACCCAACATAAAATGTAACATTAGCGTCAAGGGAAGGTGGGAGAATTATATGCTTTAAGACAAGAAGCTTTTATAATCTATTTATGTTTGGTCTGGACAAAGATTCGTCACTTGTACGCCCAGGTCTTCACTCAATTGTATAATACTAGTTGGTACTGTAGCGAAAGGACCAGTAGCTTCACAACCTACATCCAGTGCCCTCTAATCGTCCATAACATCTTGATTTGCCCATTACTCGTTTAGTAGGCCCTCACAGATCATAACATTTAACTTTTTTACTTTTATCCTCTTCACCACTGATCGGCTCGTTAGCCGCTTGGGCGATCGGTCACGTCTCTGTTACGCACTGTTGGCAAGTACTGGGCATGCACCGGCTCCTGAGTGTACCTGAACCTGCTCCAGTGTTGGTCAAGTCTTGTCTTGAAAGAGCTCACACTCGCTGTCGTCACAACACTTTCTGGTAGATTGTTCCAAGAGTTCACAACTCACCGAAAAAGTTTGTCCTCTCAGTTTTCTGGACTTGCGGCTTCTTCAATCTTGAGCTGTGACCCCTTGTGGGGCGAGCGTCCGCCAGCTCCAACTAAGGACACTCGACTGAGTAGTGCCACTGTAATGGTCATGATAAGAGCTAACCTGAAAACCTTAAGGATTCATATTACGCTTAAACGTCCACAAAACCTTCCGAGTCCCCCAGTGGAAACGTCCCCCGTTTTCTCTGTTTCCCCCGCCTTTGTCTATGGGAGCAGACGCTGTATGCTGGGACCTGTTGCCATCCATTCCTTTGTAATCAATTTAATTTTGCTTTCGATAGCTGAGTCAGAGCATTGTTAGTGAAGATAATAGTAGAGAATGAAAATGAGTTCATAGTCTCAATTTCAACGTCAGAGGGTACCGTAAATTAATTCATTGGAATAGGAGTAGCTGGACTCCCTGGCCTAGTTTGAGTGAGGGCGCCGCGGGCATTTTAACCGTTAGTAAGTGCCCGTCCCTTCATCCATACAGGTATGCCATTCCACGCTGTGTTGTAATTTGCCCTTCTTTAAGTGATTTGACCCAATTGATAGTTGATTGTGCAAGTGTTACAGTAACGTAGTTGATATGCTCTGAGTAAAGTCATATTTACGTCTTTAACGTCCCCTGAAACGTGTTGTTGTTGTCACCGGTTAGTAAGTGCCCGTCCCTTCATCCATACAGGTCCCTAACGCAGCCTAGGCCGTGTCTGTAGGGTGGATGTTGTATCCACTATGTCTGGGGACATGTCCGAGGTCCAGTAGGATCAGTTACCTTCGTGAGACCCGGCCGTCAGACACTTCAGACCACCTATAGCCCCCATAGCTGGCTCGTCTGGCCCTAACGCTCGGTCCACGAGGTGACCCTGGACCACCAAGCCACACACCACTACCAGCCCCCATCATTGGTGGATGAGTGTCTAACTCAGTAGGGCTATATTTGTGTGGTGGAATTAACCCACTGGGATCTCCAGAGTTCGTCAGATAGTACTCCATGGTGGCTGGACCCCATGGCTGTTGCTTGAGTATCACTCCTGACGACTGAGTGTTGTAGTGGCAGTTGCCTAGTATTTATGGTGCTAAGTGACTATCATAGTTGTGCTATTGAGTATGTCCACCCAGTAGGGTTGGAAGTGTATTGAATATGTCCACCCAGTAATGGTGTGAGTATGTTGAGCCTGAGGGCCTAGTAATAGATTTCGTCTGTTAGTACAAACCAATTTTTTCTTCTAATTTCATATTCATGTTTAAATAAACTTTGTATTTGTATAATTGTGTATATTATTTACCTACAGTATTTACCGTTATTTCTTCCCTATTGCTTGATACTATCATTACACCTACCCACGAGCCTCCTATCGTCACGCTACCAATGGTGATATATAAGAGTAACAGGAATTGTTACTGGCACACAGGCCCTCATGAATGGTGGCAGTAGCAGCCCTCATAAATGGTGGCAGCTCAAGCCCTCATACCACTTGAGATGCTTGTACACCTCAATTAGGTCACCCCTTACCCGTCTGTAGTATAAGCTAAGCAAGTTCAGGCGCTCCAATCTCTCAGGGTAGCTGAGGTGCCGAAGTGCAGGCATATCTCGGAGACCAGACGGGGTGACAGTACTCCAGATGGGGAAGCACTTCACTCTTGAAGATCGTTACGAGGGACGGACCGTCTAGATATCTGAATGACCTTCTTATAAGACCCAATAATTTATTTGCCTGATTTACCTTCTTCTCACAATGGCCCGAGAATTTCAGCTCATTGTTAACATACACACTTAGGTCCTTCTCACATTCAGTCTCAAATAGTGCAGTTTCTTCATTCCGTTGGGACATATGATACGCCCCCTTACCGTTGGTACGCCCCAGGTGCATCCTCTTACACTTCGTGACATTGAATCTCAGCAGCCATTCGACCATTCTTGGAGCCCACAGAGGTCCTTCTGCAGCTCTTCACAGTCCGTTTGGTTCTTGATTTCCCGAAATAACTTGGCGCCATTGGGAAACATTTGTATGGAGGAGTGTACAGCGTCAAGCATGTCATTTATGAAACAAACAAACAACAGCAGGCCCAATACACTGCCCTGTGGTACCCCGCTTGTGACAGATACGGATGATTATTTCATGCCATTAATCACCACACACTGCTTGCGGTCCAGAGGCAACCAACCTCTGGAACTCCTTTTCAGTCCTTCTACACTCTATCTTTGCTTGGTTTCTGGCTCTTGAGTACATCCTCCTGTCCTGCTCATCGTTTGACCCAACCCACGTCTTGAATTTCTGGGTTTTCTTCTTAACTTTGTCGACCGCCGCATTGTTCATGTGTTGGGATCCCCTCGTATTCTTAGAGGCACTGGGTTTAGTCTTGGGTATATATTTATCGATCAAATGGGTCACTTTATTAGTTATGATATTCAGCGTAGTGTCTGCGTTCTCGTACCTTAATGAGTCAGGCCAGTTGATACCACTCATCTCTTCCCTCATCCCGTTGTAATTTCCCTTGTAATATTTGCACCCTGGCTTGGCCTTATCTTGAACTAGGTAACCGTTAAATCTGAATAACAACAGAACCCGGTATATGGTGACTGTGCCAATTGGGGCAAGATGTTCCAGTTTGGCCACCATACCCTCCTCGTTTGTTATGATGAGGTCTAGTGGCTTGGGTGTTTGCTCCACTCTGTAATGTGTCGAGTCTCTAACATGTTGGAACAGAAAATTACCTCTCAGAGTTTCTACAAAAAGAGTAGCAGGGTTATTCAAGTCATTTGGGGTGAACTCGTTTCTCCAGTCGATGTCGCCATAGTTAAAGTCCCCCATAATAAGGAGGTGGCTAGGATTGAGCATCGCTGCATTGTCTATTAAGGCTCTTAAGTTCCTTTGATTTAGTGGGACACAGTTTGGGGATCTGTAGATACACCCGACGATAAGTAAGTCCCCTCCCTTTAATTTAATTTTACACCACTTGGACTCTTCAAAAACATCCTCTCCCTGTACCCTCTCCTGGCTGGCTCTAAGGTCTTGCCTAGCATAGATAACCACACCCCTCTTGCAAGTTTCTTGAGAAAGGTTCGTAAATTAGTCATATCCAGCAATACTGAACTCACATTCCTTTGGGTAGATTCTCCGTTCTTGTACAGCAGTTCTACAACTCCTACAACATCTGGCTGGTGTACCTTCAGTAGTGTTTCAAACTCCTCTCTCTTATCAAGGAACGTGCTGTGCATGACTTGTTTGATCACTCATGTCCACAACATGCTATGAGAAGCTGTTTTATAGCGGCCCCACCCTCTGTGGGAGGGTACCTATATAGTTTTCTCATGAAGGCTTGAGACTTTTGGGAGTGGAGACAAATTTATCTAATAATAATAATAATAATAATAAACAAGTGCTGTTGCTGCTGCTAGGATATTACTTCACCACATTTAAATATGTAACGCTATGGCTATATTTTCTTGTATTTACATTTATACCGGCTAGAATCCTACCATACAGTTCATCAGACAAGACAGGCTTTCGTGCAGAATCGCGTGACCTCTAAGTTCCCGCACTTGGTTGTTGTTGTCGGCGGGGTTACCCGGATAGTTGTTGC